GGCCCTCGCCCCCGCAAGGCCGGAGGGGCCGGAACGAGGGTGAGCTCAGGCTTCCGGGCGACGCGGGCAGCGGGCTCGGCTCCGAGGTGCTTCCTGCGGAACCGCACCCGCCACGGCCCAGAGGCTCCCCGGGGCAAAGGGCGCCTCGGTCCCCCAAGCTCCAGGCCCGGTTCTGGCTCCCGGGAGCCGGCGACCTCCACTCACCTCCGCAGGTAGGAGCCGCGATCGCCACTCACCTGCTGCCAAGACCCGGGGCTTGCGCGGCCGCGAGGGCGGAGCGGCTCACCTGGGCCAGGTGCGCAGCGGCGACAGCCCCAGCGACGGTGGCAGGTGCAGCCCCGCCCAGCAGCCGGGGCGAGGGCGGACCCAACTGTCCTGCTTCGAGCCTCAGGCTGGTGTTCAAGACGGTCCTGCGCTCGGCCCCCTGGAGCCGCGGCCGCCGCGACTGGGGGCAGAGGCCAGACCGGCCCGACCAGCCCCGAGAGTCTCTGTGCCCCAGGAACTCCTCGGAAATTCCACCGTCCCCAGGAGCACCTGGTGCAGTTCAGCCCCTCCTCCCAAGCTCTTTGTCTTCGTCTAGGAAGCCTGCCTTGACTCCCGCTTCTAAACCCGAGGTGCAGGGAGGGTAAGGCCTCTGTAAGGCACCCCTCACTTGGAAGCCCACGGAAAACCAGAGGAAGGCGGAGGCTACCACATTCCGGGCCTCTTCCCGTCACGGCCTCAGTTTCCCAGCTAGCCCTGAGGGCAGACGTAATCGGCCAGAAGCCCAGAAATTAACACAAAGCAGTTTTGTTTTATTAGAGAAAACTCTGCTGGTTGAGGGGAGCCAGTGGGGTGGGGCAGAATCTGGGGCCCAGGAAACTGGGCCAGTTTTCCTGTCCAGACGGCATGAGAAGACAGGACAGGCCTGCACTGTCTCCCCCACAACCCCGCCCCAGTTCTCTGGGTGGCAGGGGTCACTCAGCGTTCAAGTCAGGCAGTACCAAGCCTGAGCCCTCACTGGTGGAACAGGCCTCCCAGACCATGGACAGGTGTGCAGCTCACAGACACCCCAAACATACAGGGGCTCCCAGGACCCCCACATACACGCGGGTCTAATTAAAGCCCGCCCACACACACAGCCGGGGCTGGGGTGGGCGGTGGCGGCCGCAGCTCTGCGTCGCGGCCTCTTGGCCGGCTCCGGGCCCGCTGCACGTCTGTGCTCTCGGCCGGAGTCTCCGGCACGTCGGGGCTCGCAGCCCAGCCTCCCCACGTCTCTGGTGCTGCTTCTTCAGGACTTCATTCTTCACCCACTGAGGCACGTCAGGCACAAACCAGCCAGCAATGAGCCTGACGCATAAGGCCACGTGCTGGGAGGGCCAGAGTGGGGAGGTCAAGATGTGCTGAGCAGGGACTTTAGGGGCAGGGGCCCAGGGAGGGCTGCAGGGAGCTGCCCCGCCCTGGGGCTTGTCCCCAGTGTTGGCTCACCTCGAAGAGGATGAGGAAGGTCAGACGGACGGCCAGGAGGAACCAGGGCTGCTCAGTGAAGTTGGAGTTCTGAGCGGTGCCACAGTCCCGGTACCTGGGGTGGGGAGCACCTGAGGTCAGGAGTCCGGAGTTCAGAGGGTGCTCACAGGGGATGGGGGTCCAAACCTGCACTCGGTCACATTCTCTGAGCCCTCTATTTCAACAGGATTCCCGAAGTCCTTGGTGTAGAACACGGACAGGCTGTGGTTGACGTACCCCGTGAGGCAGCTGGTGGGATGGGGAGAGGAGTTTTGGTGTGGTCCCTTCAGGCTTCTGGGGTGCTGGCTTGTAACCGACCCCTGCCTGGTGGGGGCCATCAGGGTGGGCCACAGTGCAGACCCCCTCCTTCATCTCTGTACATGGGAGAGGGGCCCCTGGGGGAGGCTGAAGGGACTTGCAGGTGCCACCACCTGCCTTCCTTGCCAGGGGCCGAGGCTTCCTTGCCAGCCTTCCTGGGGGAGACCCCTGGAGACCTACCCCCTTTCAGGGCTGGAGGAACTGGATGAGGACAGCATGCAGACCACTAAGGGTCTGCCTTTGGAAGGGGAGCCATTCCAGTATCACTTGCTCAGAAAACAGCTGGTTCTGGGACGTTAATCCCCTACTGGGGTCCCAGTCAGCACTCACGGGGTCCACCCAGGGTCTGCAGGTTGCTGTGGGAGGGCAGCCCACCCCAGGCAATACTGTTAGCATCGAGCCCTTCCCTGGGGGTCCCCTGGGGCTGGGCCATGGTTGGGCCAGTTTCCCAGGGGTCTCTGGACAGTTTGAGGCTCCCCCAGGGTCTGTGTGGTGGTGTCCCCTTACTCGACTGCAGGGTGGGCCCCCTGTCGGCACGGGCCATAGCGGTACTTGTACACCACTCGGGGGATGAACTCAGATGTGAAGGCGATGACCATCCCGTCGGCAATGACCGCCAGCACGCCAATTATCGCCAGCGCCTGCAGCCAAGTCCCTGGGCCACAGCAGGGGGTGAGGCCTGCACTGTCTCCCCGCCCCCGCCCCCTCCCACCTCTGTTGATCCCCCGAAGCTGGGAGCCTGGATGGTCAAGGGCCTCATCATGCCTCTGCTTGTGGCAGCCGCAGGACCAGGTCCCTGATGAGGAAGACCTGGGCCAAGGCCAACAGAGAGCAGCCTCCGCTCTCCTGCACCCCTCTTCTTGACGTGGACAGGAAGGGGCTCAGGTCTCCGCCCCCCGTCTTATGCCTGAACCTTTCGGCTGCCCCCAGGCCTGCTCCACCTCCTGGATCCCCTCCCCAGGGCAGACCCCCTTAACCTGCTCCCAAGTCTCCCTCACACTTCGCTCTCCCACTGCCTACGTCCAACGCCGCATCTCCTGGCTTCATCCCTGACACCTGTCCACCTCAGCGAGGCCAGTCAAGGTGACTAAGGCCACCTGCTCTCAGTCCCTGTGCCCAGCTGCTGGACCCCTCTCCCTCAGCTCCCTGAGAGTCAAGCCGTTCTGCACTGCCTCCGCAGGGCGGCTGCTGGCCCTTCAATGGGACCCCTGGCGGGGGAGCGGCCTGCGAGGTGCCTTCCAGCCCCGCCTCTTCCTGGGGCCGGAGCCCTGCCCCCATAGCTCAGAGCGGTGGTTTCAAGGGGACTGGCTTGGCCCCAGCGCGCCTCGCGGCTCCTGGCCCCCTGGCTGGAGCGCCCGCCCTCAGGCCGCCCCGTCGGGCCCCTGACCGATGTCCTTGGCCTTGCAGGGCACCAGGCGCCGCTGCACCTGGACCATCTTGATGGTGTCCAAGTGGATCTCCACGAGGTTGCTGAAGAGCGCCAGCAGCGGGGCGAGCGGGAAGGCGGCCACGAAGACGGTGGTGAAGCCGTACTGGATCACTGGGGGTGGGGGTTGTCACCGTGGGCCCCCGCGCGGTGCCCGCCCCTCCGCCCACCAGCCCCGCCCCTTGTACTCATCTCCGGGAACTCCTCGAACAGGCTGAAGGTGTTGACCGGGTTCAGGCGGTAGTTGCGCCGCCAGTGCCTCAGCTCGGGGTCCTGGGACGTGGCTCGCATCGAGCGACACTTGTGGGCCAGGCACCTGCGGGCAAGGAGGACCGGGTGGGGGACGGGGAGGGGGGCTGAGGGCCCCTCGGGACTGCTGGCTCTGGGAGGTGGGGTCCTGTGGGTTCGGGGGCTCCCTGCGGTGAGGGTGGCGCCCCGGGAGGGAGGGTGGTCCTCACGGGCCCAGGTACTCCATGCAGTGGCTGAGCGTTTGTTTCAGACCCGTGATGATGGCCACCTGCACGAACAGGTCCGTCATGCAGCCGCTGAGATGGCACTGCGGGGGCAAGGGTGGGAGGTCAGGCACGGGGCCTGGGGGTGACCAGGGGGTTGGGGCAGTTCAGGAAGAGGGCAGTAAGGCCTCCGGACAGACTGACCTCCTCCAGCTTCCACAGCCCTGCCAGGCGCACGGACTTCCCAGGGTTACCGTTGATCCTGGGAAGGGCAGCGAGGCTGAGAGAGGGGGCAGGACAGGAGTGGGAGTCGGGGAGCAGTGGGGCCTGGAGGGGAAGGAAGGAGACCCGCCCCGCAGGTGAGCAGAGGCTAATCCAGACAGGCCTGCGGGCGCACAGGACCACCGGGGACCTCTCAGCTGTTCACAGGCTCAGAAAAGGCCGTGAGGAGGGGCCTCAGTTTCTCCCCAGGTAACTGTGCACACAGGCCTACTTTGTGTTTAAATCACCTGATTTCCATGATAAAAAAGGTATATTTAACCAAACGTTGGGCTTATGCTCAATGGTGAAGTCCTGCAAGCACTCCTGTTACAGTTCGTGACAACTACTATTCCAGAATGGTGTAACTTTGCAAAGGAAAAACTTGTAGAAAATACGATTATATATCTCGGAAACCAAAATAAATCAACTGAACGATTGGGCAGATAAATCTACTGAAAAATGCTCAGAGTGGATATAAAATTGATATCAAGCTCAACTCCCTTTTGCTTTCCTAGGTGCAACAAAACCACTGAGAAATGTAGCAGGAGGAAATATCTGTCGCAGATAGCAGCAAAAACCATAAAATAGAGAAATTCACAGGAAATGTGGGGGACCCATAAGAAAAAAACTATAACACAGCTAAAGAACATTAAAACAAAACTTGAATAGAGGAACCTTGTTCTTCGATAGAAAAACTTACACTTGTATTTTTGTGACAGGTGGAATGTCAGGCCCCCAAAGATACCACATCCTAATTCCTGGAACCTGTGACTATGTTATCTGACATGGCAGGTGGTATTAAGGTTGCTAATCAGCTGACCTTAAAATGGAGAGAGAATCCTGGATTGTCTGGGTGTGCCCCTTGTAATCACCAGAGTCCTTAAGTGAGTAAGAGGGTGAGCCAGAGAGATGGCAGGATGAGGACTCAGCCTGACACCACTGGCTTTGCAGACACAGGACGGAGCGGGCCAGGCAGCCTCTAGAAGCTGAAAAAACAAGAGTATGGACTCTCCCCGAGGGCCTGCATACAGAACACAGCCCTGCTGACACCCTGATTTTAGCCCAGTGAGACCCATTTTGGACTCTTGGCCTCGAGAACTGTATGTAATGTGTGTTTTTTAAAGCCACTAAGTTGTGGTCAGCAACAGAAAATTAATACAGTATCTATGTCAATTCTCCCTAAAAGAATGTATAATTTCACTGCAATCTTAAGCTAAATCCCACAGAATTTTGATGGAGTTTGACAAACATTATTTTAAAGTGCACCTAGAAGAATAAACATGTAAATAACTACAAAAAAGGAAAAGTGAAAAAGAAGAGAGAAAATTAATGCTAGACCTATCTGACAGGAAAGCATAACAGTAATAATTACGCAGAAAGGTACTAGACCAAAATTATCAGAATCCACGAAACACCAAAATATTCAAGTGAATGATGGAACTTGGTGTGTGACAGAAGGGTGGTGGTGGTGATGGAACAGTCAACAAATGGTTTGGGGACAACTGGCTGTCACTTGGAAAACAACAAAACAGGCTTCCCTCCTTTGCCGCCTGCAGCAAAACAAAATCCTTGTGAATCAAAGATTTAAATCTTTAAAATGTTGAAACTATAAGCATCTAAGGTAAATCACAGCTGAACGTTTTTTTTTTTTTTTGCTCTGGACGCGCAGGCTCAGTGGCCATGGCTCACGGGCCTAGCCGCTCCGCGGCATGTGGGATCTTCCCGGACCGGGGCACGAACTCGCGTCCCCTGCATTGGCAGGCGGACTCTGAACCACTGCGTCACCAGGGAGGCCCCTGAACATGTTTTTAATGTTGAGGAGGGGAGGCCTTTTTGAGCACGGCATGAAAAACAGGAACTATAAAGAGACACACTGATAACCTTCGTGACAAAAAAGAAACTGCCTCCAGAGAAACACGAGTGACTGCATAGGCTTTTGCCTTCTTTTCCCAGGGATGCCACATGCAGGGGCAGTACACAAAAGGCGCCAGACTCGGGCTTCTATCTGTCCCACCATCTGTTGACTGTGCGACCCTGAGATAGTTTCTTAACCTTTCTGTGCCTCGGTCTACTCATCTGTGAAATGGGGTTTAGAGAGTCCCTACCCCATAGGGCTGTTGTGCAGATTAGAGCTGATGAATGTGAGGCCCTTAGGATAGAATGGGTGAGTGTCAGCAGACGTGAGTTATTATAAAGACATATCCCATCCTGCCAGGGAAAACCTACTCAGTCCTTCGTTCTTCAGTATGAACGGACAGCTACAGATCTTCAGGCACGAGGAAAACCAGCTGTACAAAAGAGAAGGACTACGATAAAGGAACAGGAAGATGGACCCTTTAGGAAATGAAATAATGAGGAAACAGATGAGAACTTAAGGGGAAAAAAGAACATTGATATCCTCAAGAAAGTACTGTATCTGTGGAAACAAGAAAAGGACACTATAAAAAAAAAAAAGGATAAAAAAATAAAAACCCTCTTGGAAATTAAGACTTTAACTGTTAAACTTAAAAAAAGAAAACAGGGACTTCCCTGGTGGTCCAGTGGCTAAGACTCCGCATTTCCAATGCAGGGAGCCTGGGTTCAATCCCTGGTCAGGGAACTAGATCCCACATGCTGCAACTAAGAGTTCGCATGCTGCAACTAAAGATCCCACGTGCCACAACTAAAACCCAGTGCAGCCAAATAAATAAATAAATAAACATTAAAAAAAAAAAAAAGGCAAAGTGAAGGAAATCTCTCCAGATGTGGAATGTAAAGACAGAGATGGAATATATGAGAGAAAAAGATAAGAAACCCAAGAGGACCAGGCGTTCCATAGAGAGCAGAGGGGAAAAAAATATTTTTAAAAACCCAAAAAAACTAAAAATAGAACTACCACCTGAACCAACAATCCCACTACTGGGCATATACCCAGAGAAAACCACAATTCAAAAAAACACATGCACCCCAATGTTCACAGGAGCACTATTTACAATAGCCAGGACACGGAAGCAACCTAAATGTCCATCAACAGAGGAATGGATAAAGAAGATGTGGTACATATATACAATGGAAAAGTACTCAGCCATAAAAAGGAATGAAATGCGGTCATTTGTGGAGACGTGGATGGACCTAGAGAGTGGCATACAGAGTGAAGTAAGTCAGAAAGAGAAAAATATCATATAATAACACATATATGTGGAATCTAGAAAAATGGTATAGATGATCTTATATGCAAAGCAGAAACAGAGACACAGACATAGAGAAAAAATGTATGGATACCAAGGGGGAAAGGGGTGGGGTAGGAGAAATTGGGAGACTGGTACTGACACATATACATTATTGACACTATGTATAAAATAGACAGCTGATGGGAACATACTGTATAGCACAGGGAACTCTACCCAATGCACTGTGGTGACCTAAATGTGAGGGAAGTCCAAAAGGGAAGGGATGTCTGTATGTGTATGGCTGATTCATTTTGTTGTGCAGTGGAGGCTAACACAACATTGTAAACCAACCATACTCCAACAAAAATTTAAAAAAAAAAAACACCTAAGGAAAAAAAGAAGAAAATGTAGTGAGCCTAAGCAGGACATATGGGCTTTTTCATTGGAAGGTGCCAACAATGGCCCAGCACAGTGCATGAAGAAAAGACCCACCCTAGATTGTTCCCCTGTTTAAAGAGAAGATCCTAAAGCTTCTAGGTCAACTAGGAAGAAACAAAAATCAGATTTTCTGCACACTTCTTATCATCCATTTTGCATGTTCAAAGACAACGGAGCAATGTCTTTAAAGTTCTAGAAGGGAAAATTGTTTTGAAGTTCGATTTCTATACCCACAGCCGTGTCAATCTTGTGCAACAGTAGAACATGACACCTTTAGACGTACATGAATTCAGAGAGTTTACCTCTCCGATATACCTTCTCAAAATAAATGAAAGCAAAAATCAAGAAAGAAGGAGGCTTGGGAGTCCAGGAAATGACGGTCCTAACCCAGGAAAGCAGCAGATTGAAGTCCCAGGGTGACAGGTATGCAGGAGGCACGGAGAGCCCCCAGCCCAGTGTGGAGAGAATGGAGGGTCTCTGGGAGAAAAGAGACTCCATGCAATAGACAGTTGGACATGGAGAGGCTGGACAACCTTGATAAGATAAAGACATGCAAGGGGGAGAAAAGGCAAAATTAAAAACAACAGGAAAAATAAAGAGCCGCCCAAGAAATGGTCAAATAAGCAAAGAAACATATGACGTGAGTTTAAGAGACTGATAGAGTCAGAAGAGAAGCCACTTGACCCTAATGTTCTAAAAATGCTCAGATGATATGAACAACTTATAGGAAAAGAAATTTAATGGCCAAAAAATATCTGGAAAGATGCTGGATTCTCACTAATAGGTTTTAATAACGCACCTTTAAGGTCTTTGTTCATCAGACCAACATGGAGTGTGCAGTCACGTACACAGTGTGTGGCTTTGTGAGTCAGCACAGCATTTTTGGAGGGTGCTTTAGCAATGTCTGTCAATTTAAATGTGCACTGCCGACTCCCAATTAAAATGGCTGGCTGCCCACACCCACTGCCAGGCATCACCTCGGAGATGGAAGGGAACTGGAGAGGCCTGCAGCCCACTCGAGACATCAAGCTGGATCTAAGCCTGCAGGGAAGACGTCTGAATAGCAACACAACCCTGCCCAAGAGCCTGGAACACCCCAGGACTTGGGCACCTCTGGTAGCTTGGGGGCACCCACTGGATGGGATGCAGGTCCAGCTGAACCCCTGGGCCTCCTATCCAACCCCTGGTCCACCCCCCCCCCCACACACACAAGACACACACACAAGAAGACAAAGACATTTCTAGGGGGTTGAACAACCAAAGATTCAGATCGCAGGGTTGGGCCAATGGACACTGAGACCCCACACTGTCCCTTCCCCAGCTGGGCTCCCAGCATACTGACGGGCATCCTTCTGCCTCCAGGCAGGAGACCAGGGATTCCCCTTCGGGAACCGACACGGCAAGAGGTCCCGACAGGAGACACATGGTCCAGAGCAAAGCCACTAGCACATGCCTTTCTCAATTACAGACAGGTGGCCAAGAATAAAAGCCATCTAAGGTGGGGGTGGGGGGGTGGGGGGGTGTCTCTAACAGCAGAATCAGAAACCAATCAAAGAAAGAGCATAAAAGAAACTCGAAAGGAACAGAAGAAATGCCAGAGTAGAAGGGGAAAAAAGAGACCACACCCTCAGACGAGGAAAGCCCTGGTGTCCAGGTGACCTGAAGAGGAGGCTGTGAAGAATCCGCACACGTCAAAAGGAGTGAAATTAAGACATAAGCAGAAGCGAGACGCTCAGTAGAAGGGTTGGAAAACAGCTGAGAAAAACTCCAAGAAGCTGGAACAAGAATGGGAGAAAAAAAGCGAAGAAAAGTAGATGATCAATTCAGAAGGTCCAATTTCCAAACAAAAAGCATCCCTCAGGAGGGAGGAGAGAGAGCCGAAGCAGGAGGCATCAGGTACATGAGAAAATCTCTCAAAACTGAAGGCCCCGAGGCTCCAGGCCCAGTGAGTACCCGGTAATTCCTTTCCATTTGACCAGCATTGACTCTGCACGCCTGGCCGGCTGCAGGAGCTGAGCATTCAGCAAAGGACAAGCGCCCTCCCCTCCGCCCTGGGGAGCTGCCATTTCTGAGAGAGACAGTGAGCAAATAAATGTGCGTCATGTTCTGGGTGGCGACGGCTATGGAGGGGGAGCAAGGGGAGAGCGGAGGCTGAGGGGCCCG